CTTCAGTGTTTATAGCTGTCTCTCTACCGATCAGTCTGTATATATTACATTATTTATTATTGCTAGTATTGGTAGAAAAACCCACAATATAAAATTTAGTTTTTACATTGTGGGTTTTTCTGTGTTTTCATCATTCATTGCTAGTATTGTTACTCTCATGATCGCCGTTATTTGTGGTAGTAATATTGCGATTATTATTGTTATCATCATTAGTTTGTGTCTTTTTAAAGCTAATTATCAGTGATATTATAATCAATATTTCTTAAAAAATCTTTTCGCGATCATCATTTTTCTGTTCAGTTCATAATGATGACGATGATTGTCATAATTATCATTGTTATTGTTATTATATTTACCATTACTATAAGTATCGCTTTTGGCATTATTAACAGTATTACTATTGTTAGTACCATTGTCACTGTTATTGGTATTATTGTTATCATCATCATCATTGTGATCAATTTATTACTTTTATCGTTATCATCGTTATCATTATTTTTAGTGTCGAACGAAAATGGGATTTACAAAAGGAGTAAGAGAGTATATGTTTTTTTATTGTGATTTTTGACCTTGGTGGGTGGGTGTGCGCTGGCCTCTAACTTTTTTGGGGGTGTGGGGTGGGGGGGGACACCTCATACCTTCCTAAGCAAACCCCCCACCCACCACTCCTCCTTCCCGATCACCCACCCTTCCCCCCGTTTCTGAGGTGACGTGTCTCCACAACAGGTGCCTGCGCCGCCAACCTCTGCTTCCCAGGTGTAAGCTGCATAGACACATATAACGAGACCTGGTACATCTGCGGCAGTTGTCCTCCGGGTTACTACGGTGATGGACAGACCTGTACTAAACTGCAGGTACGGTCTCCTTGAAAACGAAAGTCGGAAGAAACTTTTCGTCACCTTTCTGTGGTCATTAGAACAATTGATTTCTCTCTCTCTCTCTTTCTCCCTCACTCTCTCCTTCTCCCTCCTCTCTCTCTCTCTCTCTCTCTCTCTCTCTCTCTCTCTCTCTCTCTCTCTCTCTCTCTCTCTCTCTCTCTCTCTCTCTCTCTCTCCTAAGAGGAATTAGATTATGCATATTTCTTTCCCTGCTACTGTCCATTAAATACTCTGGTGTGTCATTGCTGTGACTTATAGATTGTAATCGAGTGGTCACATATATATATATATATATATATATATATATATATATATATATATATATATATATATGTGTGTGTGTGTGTGTGTGTGTGTATGTGTGTGTGTGTGTGTGTGTGTGTGTGTGTGTGTGTGTGTGTGTGTGTGTGTGTGTGTGTGTGTGAGTGAATGTGTAAATATATGAATGTATGCATATATATATATTGTATATATATATGTGTGTGTGTGTGTGTGTGTCTATAGAGTATGTACATGTATTGTACGCATGCATGCATGTGCGCGTGTAAGACAGAACAGCATTAACTAGCTCCTCGCGTGCAGTGCCCGAGCGGGTACGCGGGCGACGGCGAGACGTGCGGCCCCGACAGCGACCAGGACGGCTTCCCCACCCGCGGGCTGGCCTGCGCCGAGCCCGGCTGCGTCCAAGACAACTGCCCGACGTGGCCCAACTCTGGCCAGGAGGACGCCGACGGGGACGGCCTCGGCGATGCGTGCGACGACGACGCCGACGACGACACCTTGGAAAACGATGTGGTACGGGGGCGACTATCCTTTCTCATATATATATATATATATATATATATATATATATATATATATATATATATATATATATATACATATGCATATATATATGCACATATATATCTATATGTATCCATATATACATTTATATATACCTATATTTACATATCTGAATACTCACACATATAGACATTTGTATATATATACATACATATTTATACATATATATACATGTAGAAAATGCATGAAAAGGTACTTGACTGGTTTCGATTACATCTTCGTCAAAAATACACGTATTTCATGAAAATATAATCGAAACCGGTAAAATTCATCTCTTGTATTGTGAAAATATTCATTCTCATTCATATCTTTTCTACATTTGTCGACATGATTGTCAGTTAAAAGATCCAGGTTTTGGGTGTATCTTATCCTGCATCCCCATCCCTCTTTCTCTTTCTCTCTCTCTTTTTCTCTTTGTCTCTCTCTCCCTCCCTCTCTCCTTCTCTCCCTCTTTCTCTCCTTCCCTCTCTCTCCCTCTCCCTCTCCTTCTTTCCTTCTCTCCCTCTCTCCCTTATTCTTTTCCTCTCTCCCTATCCCTCCCTTGTTCCTTCTCTCTCTTCCTCTTTCTCCCTCTCCCCCTCCTCCCATCCTTCCCTCCCTCTCTCCCTTGTTCCTTTCCTCTCTCCCTCTCCCTCCCTTGTTCCTTCCCTCTCTTCCTCTTTCTCCCTCTCCCCCTCCTCCTATCCTTCCCTCCCTTGTCCTTTTCCTCTCTCCCTCTCCCTCCCTTGTTCCTTCTCTCTCTTCCTCTTTCTCCCTCTCCCCTCCTCCTATCCTTC